ACACACACACACACACACACACACACACACACACCGAATTAAGAGAGGAACTACAAGTGGGTACCAGTACCACAGCCAAAAAATTAAGACAGCAACATTCAAGTTGGGACGAGACCATCATACGTGGAATAATCTGATACATTTGTGGTCAAACTTGGGATTCTACAAACTAATTTAATAAGAAGTGCTTATTTGCAAGGGATGAGGACTTGGCCTGAGAGATAGTTATGATAGGGGCAAAGGCTATGGTGAAGATTCAGGAGGAAAGACCAGCCTTCTGTAAAGTGTGGGTATAGGACAGCTGCGGAATATTAAAAAGATACACGTACAAAGACCACAGGATGCAAGCTGGTGAGAAAGGGAAGAAGTTGAGGCACAGGAGAAGTTGAGTCAGACTGTGGAGCACCAACAGATTCTGAGCTTTTGTTCTGTAAGTCCCAAGCAGAATGACCTGCACAAGGTTTCAGTGTAGATGAGTGGCAAGCTGGATGTCCTCTCTTTAAAACCTAAAGTAGAAATTGGATCGTCAATCAATACCTATGGTACTGTCAGTCTAAAAATCAAAAGATGTGTTACATTAGGAAAATCTATTGCCAAGGACCTCTCCAAAGTCCTAAAGAGCGAAGATATCAGTTTAAAATCTAAGGTGATGAGTATTATGGTTAGCACAGGAATCCAGAATTAAGGTTGCATAGAGAAGTGTACTCGGGGTGGGGGGTGGGGTGGGGAAGGGATGGGGGAATTGTATACCAATTAAGGAATTTTTTTTTCTTTTCGGAGAGGGGAACTAACTGGTGGGGAGGGGTGGGCAGGGAAAAAAATGCGGCAATGAGCTAATGGTAATAAACAAACAAACAAACAAAAAAACTAAGGTGAAACTGAACCAAGCAATGGTACTTTCAGTTGTCTCTATGCATCTGAAAATTGAACAATGAATAAGGAAGACAGAAAACTTGATGCCCTTGAGTTGAGGTGTTAGAGAAGAGTATTAAATGGACTATGGACATTTAATACTAAAACAATCTCTATGAAATACTGATTGGTTGATTATAAGAGATAAAGAAGAGAGGAGAATTAAAACTCACTCAAAGATTTGCCCTCACTGCATGGGGGGGAAAAAAATGGTGCCGTGAAGCTCAACATCAAGAAAACAAAATGTCTCACCCCTCGACCTATTGGCACCATCATGATAGATGGTGAAAAGATTGAAATTGTTAATAGCTTCGTTTACTTGGCTCCACAGTCAACATTCTTGGTACCAGCAGCCAGGAAGTCAAAAGATTAATTGCATTGGGAAAATCTGTTGTTAGGAACCTCTCCAGAATACCAAACAAATAAGGACTTTGGAACAAGAACTTGGCTTACCTTTTGGCTATATGTAATAGCTGTTTGCCCTTGGACATGTTTGAAGGAATAACAGCTTCCATATGTTAAGATAATTGTGAAGACTGAATAGGATAATAGTAAAATCTACGGTATATTGGGTAACCATAATGGTTACCCATCATGTATAATGTTTGGATGAGCTTCCAGATTGATCCAGGATAAGAAGCAGGAATGGCATCCACTTCCTAAACTAGATGCTTCTGGAAACCTATAAACTCTATAAATGTACAGAAATGTTAATTATAGAACAGAGGTCAGGTCTTTTGTGCAAGGGTTGCTATGAGTCTTATTTAACTTGATGACAGTTAACCACTGCTAAATCAGACTAGTGCTGTTATATCTTGAGGAATATTGCTCTGCTTTGTACATCACTTTTTGTCAATGTGCTGTATGAAGTAAGTTGTGATGCTGAACCTTGTGCCATCGAGTATCAAATTCCGTAACGGTTTCCCAATGTGGACAGTGTTTGGTGGAGCTCCCAGTTGTAAAACTGGTTTGAAAGCAGGAGTGGCATCCACTTCCTAAACCACTTGCCTTTAGAAACTCTATGAACTTGGAGAAATGACAATAGTTATGGAAAGGCATTAGGTCTTTAGGCCTTTTGTTCATAGAGTCGCTATGAGTCATGCTCAACTCGACAGCAATTCAACAACAACATCTTTTTCTCCATTTTTATTTTATATTGGTTTGCTTACAATGTTTATATATTGTGTTTTATACTATTCATCATTCAGACTATGTTTCATGCAATCATTCCCATCCAATATATTTCAAACTGGGAACAAGCTTAGAAGGCCTAGTGTATGGTATAAGGAAGCTGACAAATACAGCCAGAAATGCACAGTCTAGAAAGGATAAAGTTGATGAATGAGACTTTCTAATGATTAAATCTCTGTGCACAACATTAACTTTTTCCAGTAGAGTGAAAGAAAACCTACCTCAGACAAGTGTCTCATAACAAAAGCTTACATAATATTTTTGGGCCTCTACAATGAAAAGACTGGTAACTCAGTTACAAAATGGGCAAAAGACACAAAGTCTTTTCACAGAGTAAGATCTTCTGATGGCCCACAGACACATGAAGAAAATGCTCAAAATCACTGAGACTTAGAGAGATGCAAATCAAAAGAAGAGTGAGATACCATCTTACCCCAATAGCAGGGACAAGTTTAGCAGGGCAGCAAGCAATAAATGATGGAGAACATGTGGAGAGATAGGAACTCTTATACACTGTTACTGGGATTGGGTACAACCAATCTGGAAAACAGGGTGGTGTTTCCTCAAAAAGCTGAACATAGAAGCTCCTTATGACCTAGCTATTCCACTGCTAGGAATATACTGAGACATAAACTGAAATTTGTACACCAATGTTCATAGCAGTATTATTTACTATTGTAAGAACATGAAAACAGCCCAAATGTCCAATCACAACTGAATGGATTGAGAAATTGTAATACATTCACACAATGGAATACTATACAGCACCTAGGAACAATGGTTTTGGAAAATACAAAGTAAGTTGGGGGAGGCTGGAAAGCATTAAGCTGAGTGAACTACCTCAGTCTCATAAGGACAAATACTGCACAAGATCATTATTGTAAATAATAGAAGGATAACTAGTAAAACATGTATGGGAGTCCAAGGAGAAATAGGGTGGCAGTAGAGGGGTGCAGACAAGTAGGGGTGAAATTACAGGGTTTCACAATTTGATGAGTAGAGAGAAGGGGGAAGGAAATGAGAAAGATCTGGTAGGGACCTGAAAAGACAGAGTAATGGTGGGCGTAGTCTAATGGTGATTAACTTTCCCTGGATATCTTGAAGAATGGCAGTGACAAAAAACAAAAAAACAAAACAAAACAAAAAAACAAAAAAAACACAACCAAACAAAAAACAAAAGGCAGAGAGTTATTTCTAATAGGATAATAGTGAACCTGCTAAATATATGCCAAACTCCTTGCCACTTGTTTTACAAGCAATACCTCATTTGTCTTCATAATCTTATACCACACAGATATTCTTTTTATTAGATATTGAAGCTTAAAAGGGTGAGCAATATAACACAGCTAGAAAGTGGCAGAGCTGAGAAGATTCGAACCTAGGGAGCAAGAAACCAAAGGAAGTCAGACTCGTGATCACTATTTCCTAGGTTGTTGTTGTTGTTATGTGCCGTCAAGTTGCTTGTGACTCATAGCGACCCTATGTACAACAGCTCTAAACTCTGCTCTGTCCTGTGCCAATCTCATTGTCTCTAACACACCCATCCCAATTGCCCCAGACACCAAATCAATCCACCTCCTAGAGGGCCTTCCCCTTCTGCACCTGCCCTCCACCCTCCCAAGCATGATGTCCTTCTCCAAGGAATGGTCCCTCCTTACAACATGACTAAAGCATGTCAGACAAAGTCTCAGAATCCTTGCCTCCAAGGAGCAGCCCAATTTAACCCTCTCCAGGATGAATCTGTTTGTTTTCTTAGCAGTCCATGGTACCCTCAGCACTCTTCTCAAACACCAAAGCTCAAAAGCATCAATTCTCCTTCTATCCTCTCTCGTCATTGTCCAGCTGTCTGACGCATAACAAGTGATTGCAAAGAACATGGCCTGTACCAGATGCACCTTAGTCTCCAGAGACATACTGTTGCTCTTCAGTACTTTATAGAGGTCCCTAACAGCAGACTTTCCCATTGCAATACGTCTTTTGATTTCCTGGCTGCTGGTGCCAAGAGTGTTGATTGTGGAGCCAAGCAGACTAAAGCTGTGAACAATCTCAATCTCTTCACCATCCATCCTGATGCTGCCAATTGGTCCAGTTCCTATAGCCTCTTAATTATTGAGTTGTACTGTGAAAGGAGTTTGGATGGCTTAGTGGTAAGAAGCTCTGCTGGTATCTCAAAGGCACATTGCAAAAGTACCTGGTTCGAACCCACCATCTGCTCTGCAGGTGAAAGAAGGACAATCTTCTTCCATGCAATTTATGCTTCTGAAAACCCACTGGAAGGTCAGCTGTGAGTTGGTTTAGACTTAACATTGCACAATAGCAACAACAAATGATGACAGCAGCGTTTTCTGACTGTGTACCATGAAAAAGCATCTCTGTACATTTCCTAATTTGAGTCAACACTGTGAAACAGGTCATCACTACTTCATTTTATATTTGAACGACGTGAGGCTCAAGAAGGCGGAGTAACTCACTCTGAATCAGCTATCGGTAATGATGAGTATGACAGTATCATAATAGGCCATTTATTGAGCCCTTTACAACAGGCATCCCTCAATACATTTGCTCCACTTACCGCACCTCACAGATACGTGGTTTTTGTAAGTTAAATATTAGTGGCATTCCTCCATTAAGCAAGTCTGTTGATGCCATTTATCCAACAATACCTGATTGCATGTGTCTCTGTGCCACATTTTGGCAATTCTCACAACGTTTAGCAGACTACCGCAGAGGGTCAAAATGTTTGTGTGACTCCTTTTATTCTGATATTGCTTCACTGTGGTGTGTGGGCTAGACCCGAGCCTGCAGTATATCTCCAGTGTTATGCCTGGATATGCCAGCCTCTGCCCTAGGCATTTTGCGTGAATTTTTCTCAGACTTTATAACCATACCTTGGAAGTAGATTTTGTAATTATCTCCATTTTCCAGCTGAAGAAAAGGAGACACATAAAAGTTAAACCATGTGTGTAAGGCCATACAGCTTTTATATTACAGAGAAAGGATTCCAACTGAGGGTTTTTTGGAACTGAGAGTCTGCACTAGGTAGAAGAGCTGGCACTGGAATTCTGTTGTGAGGGTAAAATATAGACACACGAGTGAATAAGGTGATAAGGGAAGAAAATAACTCGTGGGATTAGAAATTGGTTATGAGATTGCAGCATTACAGCAAGAAAGTATGCGGAGATGGAGATTCAAAGACAGTGGCAGATATAGCACTTGGTGCCCCTTAGCTTTCAAAAACACCAACTGTGACATGAATAGGCCTGCAAAGTCATTTCCTCCATAGCAGTAATATCAAAAGTAAAGTTCAAAATGAGCCGTAAGGACTCTTGGTATGGGTCTAGGGGTTGATGCAAGACAGAATTACTTTCTGGAGGAATTGAAAGAAAAGACATGCTATGTATCCTGCTGATAATTCTACTACTCAAATCAGCCTGAGGCTTTTTTAAAAAACAAACTAGAAGAGGGAATTCAGACGAATAAGCCCACTAGAAAACAAAACTGTCCCCCTCCCCTTTAATCCCAAACAATGAGAGGATAATAATAAAAGAAGGTCTAAGGGCAGGATTGGTGGAAGATCTATCAACAATCTCCGTTATGCAGATGACACAACCTTGCTTGCTGAAACTGAGGAGGACCTCATGCACTTGCTGCGAAGGGTCAAGGACTGCAGCCT